GGCTCCGTTCCACTGCTGCACGCAGGAGCCCGCGCACGCCGTCTACGCAGTCTAGCACTCCGGGGAAAACGGTGAGTACCCCCCCCCCCGCCCCCCCCCCCCCCTCCCCCACCCGCCCCCCCCGCCCCCCCCCCCACCCCCCCCGGGCCCCGGCCCCCCCGGGCGCCCCCCCCCCCCCCCCCCCGCCCTCAGAGAAGCTGCCGTACCCCCTGCAGACCTTCTCCATCGGAGCCCAGGACACTCCAGAGGTGCTGGCCGCTCGCCAGGTCAGGGGTTCAGCACAGAAATGCAACAGGACCTAGGGTTGTCACGATACTAAAATTTAAATAAATAAAAAATAAATAAATCACACGCAAAAGGACAAGAAGCAGAAGGAAGTAAAAATACCCGATAACGGCAAGGAGGATGAGGGGGTCAGCACAGAAATGCAACAGGACCTAGGGTTGTCACGATACTAAAATTTTCAACCCGATACCGATACTCAGGAAAATACTCGATACCATTTTTGATACCACAAGGATAAAAACAAAGAGCCCAAAATTTAAATGAATTTTGACAGGTTAGTGTCTTTCATTTCAAACTGACCTGTTACTGATGTTATCGTGACTGGTGGCCCACATTAATAACCCTAACCCTTACACTGACCCTAACCCAAACCCTAACCCTCCACCCTTCATAATTGTGAAAAATAAATATTTTTGGGTTAAACTTGTTTGGACTTATTGTACAAACCTATTTAACATCCACTATTTTAACATAATAATATGTATAGAGTGTAATTAAGTGTTTGAAAGATTAATTTCACAATTTTTAAATTAATCTCTATATTGCCATGAGGCAATTAGGATTTTCTTGCCTGGAATCTTCCTATTGTTAATGTAACTATAATGGCCGACTTCGATGTGGGCGGAGTCGGATATGTACTTGATTAATGGTAGCACGTTATTATTAGCCATTAGCCGAAGCTAGCAGTTCAAGGCTAACAACTTGTTAATGACCATAAACAACGTAAATAAATACATAAATAAATAAAAAAAAGGGGGGGGGGGGGTATCGATACTTTTGAAAATGAGTATCGTATCCGGATACAACATTTTAGTATCGATACTTTTGACAACCCTAACAGGACCAGATCAGAGCCTAGAGACTCTTCATTCTAGTTCAGTGTTTTTCAACCTTTTTTGAGCCAAGGTAAATTTTTTCATTGAAAAAATCACGAGGCACACCACCACGAGGCACAGGTAAATCACACGCAAAAGGAAAAGAAGCAGAAGAAAGTAAAAATACCCGATAACGGCAAGGAGGATGAGGGGGTCAGCACAGAAATGCAACAGGACCAGATCAGAGCCCAGAGACTCTCCATTCTAGTTCAGTGTTTTTCATCCTTTTTTGAGCCAAGGTACATTTTTTTATTGAAAAAATCTCGAGGCACACCACCAACCAAAAATGTCAAATAAATCTGTAGCCGCCTATAGTATGTCTGAGGCCCGGCGGGGTCCTGAACCGAAGCCTCTCCGCAGGCTTCGACCCCGACGCGGTGAAGAGCAACATCCGGCTTCTGTTCGAGAGCGCGGTGAGGAAACGGCTGATGGCCCACAGGAGGATCGGCTGCCTGCTGTCAGGTGACTCCTCCCCCTCCGTAGCACGGCCGCCGCTAGCTGCTGTTAGCTGCTGTTTACTGCTGTTAGCTGCCATTAGCTGCCATTTGCTGTTGTTAGGCGCTGATAGCTATCGTTAGCTGCTATTACCCGCCGTTGTTAGTTGTTATTAGACGCTGCTGTTAGCTGTTGTTAGGCACCTCTAGCTGCAGTTAGCCGCCATTAGCTGCTGTTAGCTTCTGTTAAGCACTGTCAGCTTCCATTAGCTGCTGTTAGCCGCAGCTAGCTGCTGTTAAGCACTGTTAGCTTCCACTAGCTGCTGTTAGCTGCCGTTGGCCACTGTTAGCTGATTTTAGCTGCTGTTAGCTGCCATTTGCTGTTGTTATCCCTGGGTAGCTGCTGTTAGGCGCTGTTAGCCGCCGTTAACTGCTGTTAGCTGCTGTCAGCTGCCTTTAGGCGCTGTTAGCTGCTGTTAGCCGTTGTTTGCTGTTTTTAGGCACTGTTAGCTGCCACTAGCTGCTGTTAGCCACCGTTTGTTGCTGTTAGCTGCTGTTATCTTCTGTTAAGCACTGTTAGCTTCCACTAGCTGCTGTTAGTCGGCACTGTTGGCCGCTGTTTGTTGCCTTTAGCTGCTGTTAACTGTCGCTAGCTGCTATTAGCCGCAGCTAGCTGCTGTTAAGCACTGTTAGCTTCCACTAGCTGCTGTTAGCTGCTGTTAGCTGCCATTTGCTGTTGTTAGGCACTGTTGGCTGCCACTAGCTGCTGCTGTTAGCTGCCGTTGTTAGCTGCTGTTAGCCGCCGTTTGCTGTTAGTCGCCGCCTTTAGCTGCTGTTAGTCGTAGCTGTTAGCTGCTGTTAAGCACTGTTAGCTTCCACTAGCTGCTGTTAGCCGCCGCTAGCTGGTGTTAGCCACCACTGTTAGCTGCTGTTAGTTACCGTTAGCCGCTGTTAGCTGCCGTTAGGCGCTGTTAGGGGCGTCTGGTTCCTCTCGTTCCTCTGGGGGCTAACTCCTGCCCCCCCCAGGTGGTCTGGACTCCAGCCTGGTCTCTGCTATGTTGATGAAACTGGCCGCTGAGGAGAAGCTGCCGTACCGACTGCAGACCTTCTCCATCGGAGCCGAGGACAGTCCAGACGTGCTGGCCGCTCGCAAGGTAGCGGCTCACATCGGCAGTGAGCACCACGAGGTGAACTTCTCGGCGGAGGAGGGGATCCAGGCGGTGGAGGACGTCATTTTCCACCTGGAGACCTACGACATCACCACCATCAGGGCCTCCGTCGGT